ACAGAAAAATATAATATTTAATTAAATAAAAAAAAATAGATATAAGAATAATTTATAGGAACTAGTTAAGAACTTTTAGTACTTTTAACAGCTACTCTAGGACTATTATAACTTATAGATACTTTAGAACTAGACGCTTATACTAATAGCCTTAAATCTAAGAACTTATTACTAAGTCTATACAAGGACTAGTTTATGTTATTAAGAACCTATATAAACTATAACTCTTTTATTATTTTCTGTTTATAAGTATCTAATATTAACTTTAAAGTATTAGACTTATTAACTTCTTATATACTATAATAAAAAGGTTTAGCTTAATACTTATAAATAAGTTTTTAAGTTTTTTAAGTTCTAGATAAGTAGCTAGCTATAATAGCTATTAAAGACTATAGTTAAGTAAGCTTTTTATAAAGCCTTAAAAGCTTTTTATTTATTAGTTTTTTTTTTTTTTTACTCTTTTTACTAAGTATTTAGTTTTTATACTATAAGTAAGGTTAAATAAAAAGAACTATACTAAATTAAAGGATATATATAAGTAGAAGCTATTAAAACTTTATTATAAGGCTTTTTAGTTTTAATATAAGTTTAGTAATAAAAAGAACTTTTACTAAAATAATAAGTAGTTTTTATATAGAAATAATAAGTATAAAGTATATTAGTAATAATAAAATAAGCTTTAATAAACTCTAGAAATATAAAATACTTATAATCTTTTATTTTTATCTTTTAAGATTTTGCTTTTAATTTTGATTTTTTTATATAACTTAATATAATGTTAGTATTATAAATAAATAAAAAAATAAGTTTAATAACTTTTTAACTTAAGAGGGATAATTTACTTATAAGGTCTTAGGGGTAAGACCTTTAAAGAGGAAACCTAATGTTATAACCTAACAAACATAATATAACTAGGGTTACCTTATAGGCGCCTAGTAGTTATAAGACAAGGTTATATATAAAATAGTATAAGAATATATTAATCCTTTTCTTAGAATAGAAGAACTAAGGAAAATTATATGAAAATAAGAAGGATTAATAATAAATAAGTAGTCTATAACCTAGGACTAATATACTAAGGATTAGTCCTTATTAAGGACTAACTCTAAGAGATTAGTCTTAATAAGACAATAATAAGATATAAGGATATTTACTTTAATTAGACTAGATACCTTTTATAGCTCTTTAGTAATCAACTTCGTAATTCACTTTACTATAAGTAACTCTTAGATTATCCTTCTATTATAAAGCTATACAAGCTATTTATACCTTAAACAACTAACTGATCACTAGCTAGCTATAACCTAGCCAGATTACTAACAAGACTTACCTTACTGTTACTAAGTATTAACCTTAGCTATCTATTAGTAGACACTACCACTGTCGGATATCTGACCGTAACAAGATGTTAATATTATTTAGCTTATAGCTAAGTAGCTAAGACTCTTAGGACCTTAAGATATTAACTATAGTACTAGATAGTATATAAAGTACTAGTTCTCTTAAAAAAAGAATCTAATAGTATTAAGGTAACTTATTAATAGTAATATATAAGATTATTAACTTCTAAGCTAAAGGTATTAGTAAGTTAATATATAAGTTTACTTTTATTAAGGCTAAGAAAAAAAAGTATTATATAGTAGTAGAGATATTAAGTAAACGCTGGAGAACTAAAAAGACCTGATTACGTCTTAGAGGGTCACTTAATATTGCTGAAGTAGAGGTATTATAAGTAGAAAAGGGTAGTGTTAATACTAGAGGAGAGAATAACCCCTAGAAGGAGGGTCGTATAGAAGGTGCTGAACTACGCGTGCGATGATGTGGTAATTGTGGAAAGCCTGGATATAACGTATGAATATGTGAAGTAGTTTGGGATAGTGATGAGGAAGAGGGTGATAAGTAGTTTTAATTAATTTTGTATGTTGTGGCTGAATTGACTTATATAAAAGGTAGAAGAGTAAAGGAAAGGTAGCGACTTACTATGAGTAGCGACTCGTTATACAGATACGTTATCACTTTTCTAGACAAGCTATCTATAATAATTAAGTCTCTTTATACTATATCTATACAAAGAATAATATAGCAGATACATTTACTAAATCTGTTAATAAAGAAGTATTTAAATACTTTATAGAGACTATAAATCTTAATAAAAAGGGGTTTTTACCTAAAGGAACTATAGATAATAAAGAAATACTTTCTAAAAAAAAAGTAATATAGCTTAAATACTAAGGTTTTCCCTTTATAAATTCTTTTTCCTTTAAAGGTTTTTAACTATAACTATAACTATAACTATTTTTCTTATAACTTTCTTTATAAAAGGTTTTTATAAGTTTTTATATAAAGTAAGTTATATTTATAACTTAGATATAACTTAAAGAGAAAACTAAGAATTAAGAAGTAAAATTCTTATAATTCTTATATATAAATCTCTTTATAACTCTATAACTAAATGTCCTATAAATATATAGTTATTTTTTCTAGATTCTTCTTGAAAAACAACCTATAAAAGTATATATTACTATATATAACTATACTAATTCAAACTACTATAAACTAATGCAGTCTACTATATATAAACGTATATACTTCTAAGCATTATATATACCGGCGCTTATGCCTATCTATAGGTATATATAGGCATATATATACATATACAAGAAACATATAAGTACCTCTTAGCGCTTAGATATACGCTTAGATATACGCTTAGATACTATACGTATCTAAGGGACTTTCTATATAACTAAGAGATATTTCCTCTACTTAGACAGTGTTTAATAACAATGAAGCATAACGATACCTTAACGGTTAATATATATATATACCTTTTCTGTTTACCTTATTCTTCTCTACTTTTCCTTGTGACTATTATAAATAACCCTCTGTTATTCTTACTATAATAAGTAAAATTAAAGCTTCTTAGTATAAAAGACTTTTTAGTATAACCTCTTAAGTATCTTTAAGGATTTCTTACTTTATATAAAGTATAAGATTACTTAGTAGCTTAGCTATAAAACCTAAGTCTTATTTCTTTATTTTTACTAATTTATAATTATATAAAGTAATTATATAAATTACTAAGTAACTACTAATTAGTATTAAATAGAGATTTTTTTTAAAAGAACTTATTTATATAATTATATTTAGGTTAAAAGTTAAAGTAAACTAAAAAGATATTTTTTATAATTATTTTTTTAACTATAAGACTTAGCTTTTATATATAAGATATATAATCTTATATGTCCTTAAGTTAATTTAGTATAAATATACTTTTAATCCCCTTAATAGATAACCGAGAGCTAAATATCCAGTCTATGCCCTCTGCCATGATGTGTGTCCTTGAGTTGTGCGTGTCGTACAACCAGCTGGTGCTGTTATTCCAACAAGTACCCTATTTTAGTGCAGCTAAGCACCCGTTTGATGTTTTTAGCTCTCGGCGCGGCGTATTCAGAGCTTATCATTGAAGTTACTCACACTTTCACTCGAAATAATTCAGTAGAGTGCTTTAAGCGTTGATCTTGCATTCGGTTTCCAGGGTTCTGTTGATAGTGGCTCAATCAAGAGGTAACGCCGATGTAATCGTGACTGAAGGCGGTGCACCGCTCTTGGTGTTGGCTGCTTCGACCAGACATGGAAAGATTGCGCGACTGTCCCTCGAGAAAGATGCTATGGTTGACGCAAAGAATGCCACATAGACGATGCCACAGGCATGGGATCCCCAAAACGGGACGCCAAAACTCTTCGCAGAAGCCCCTAGAGACGCCTTGGTAGATGGGAACAACAATTTGGATAGCCCGGCCCCCCCTCTTTCTGCAGCTGCAGTAGGGCTAATACTCCATGTTAGGCCACCCTTAGTCATAGTGCATTTGCTATGGTATTCAAGCGTTGATCAGGGGATGTGCAAGCCAAGAGTTTAGAAGAAATTGCGATGGCTGATAGGAATGGACGCGTAGAGATGGGTTTGACTGCTTGGGTGCCCCCAATGTTACAAGTCGCTATACGGAAGCTGATAACATGGCAAGGATGGTTTGATAACGAAGACAGGGCACAGGTCGGAAACAAGACCTAGCCGAGAACAACAAAGCCGAAGTTGGGGCAATAATTGAACACGGGTTAATAAGGTGGCCCAGTTCGCATTGTTTCGGCAATGGTACGTCAAAGGCATTATCCTTGGAAAGTAGTATCGGATCTCACAATACTATTCTCACCTAGTTTAGCGCCGTCTTGTTTCCTCAAACAACTTTTTCGACTACTCTCACTACACTTAAACTGTCTTTGTAGCGGTACAGAGTACTCAACAAGATTCAATCAATGCGATCTGAGCGACAGATGTTTTGTCATTAACTTTATTCCTGACCAATGCGCCCCAGTACACGTAGGCCCTCCTCGGACGAGACAGTCTTCAAGCTTGGAACTAATCGCCGGTTAGACTAGCCAGTAGGGAAGTGTCGAACAAGGCACGTGGAGTGGATGTCTGGGGTTATTCATTCTCTGGGACGACTCAAGACCCTAGTGAGCTGCGTGGGTACTAGTTATCCGATGGCGTCGCAAAAACGACGCCGCAATCATGAGTGGATAACGGTTCCTTGCATACCACGAATGACAGTAAGTTGGTACCGACGGGCCGTGGAGGTCAAGTGGGTCATCCGGGTCGGGGATTACGAAACAAGCTTTTGGGTGGATTACACGGGGCCACTAGGAGAACGTCGGCAGTGGGATGCCGTAACCAACAAGCCGTTCTTTCCGGAATAGTGCACACAGAACGAGTGTGAAGTAGGCTGCAAGCCACGAGCAATTCGATCTTCTCTCTTCGCATTGCCCTGACAAAGGCGTTCGAAGATTACCTCGCCTCCGCCCACATTGATGCCTTGAATGGGGAGCCGCACTATGATGTACAAGTAGATAAAGAGCGCCGACATCTGCCACATTCCTCCGAGATTGACAATCTTTATACATCAAGCTGCTAGACGGTCGTTTGACGTCCATAATTGGCGACAATGACGGGGAACGCGCAATTCCTGTTCCCTACACTGCCTCATTTAACAGTCGGTGTAGTGTTGCAATCCATTGTAGCTCTGGTGCGTACTTTCTCCAGATTCTTTCTTCCATGCCGAGGTAAAACCAAGGTTATCTCTGGTTGAATTGCACGCCAACAATGCCAGGGTCATCTCTACATCTTGGGCCGCTGCTTATATAACATATATTTCCATCCGCTTTCCACGTACCCAGGACCCAAGCTGTGGGCGACAAGTCGCATACCATGGACTTATCACAGCATTGGAGGACACCTACCGGATGAGGTTTACCAACTCCATAAGCAATATGGCCCCATAGTCCGCATTGCGCCAGACGAGCTGTCGTACACCTCCGGAACTGCCTGGAAGGCCATATATGGGGCCAGGAACCCTGAATTCTCGAAATGTCTCGACGGCCGCGGTGTCGCCGGGCCCACCTCGCAGCTCAAGGGACCGAACATCAACATGGTTGTCTCAGAGCCTGTGCGACACGGGCGTCTCCGTCGTGCCATCGCCCCGGCATTCAGCGAACGAGCATTGCGTGGACAAGAAGAATTTATCCAGCATCACAGTGACAAGCTTATCGGCCAGCTTCGTCGCGCGGTGAGGAACAAGCCCGATGAACCGCAGAATCTGACGCGATGGTACAGCCTTGCAGCCTTCGATATCATCTCTGACCTAGCGTTTGGCAAACCAGCTGGATGCCTCGACTCGTTCGACCAGCCGTGGATACAGGTATTAGGCAACCGAACTCGCTCGCTGGTATGGATGCAACTGGCGATGCACTACCAGGTTGAGTGGCTGTTAGACGCCTTCAGTCCGAAGGGGACCATGGAGGCGCGGAGGAAACACCGCCTTCTTACAGAAAGGAAGGTTGAAGAGCGGATTGCCAACCCTAACGGGAAAGACAGAAGGGACTTCATGAGCTACATCATCGAAAACGAGTCTGAACGATTGACGAACGAGGAGCTGAACCAAATGGCTTCCTCATTCATTGTCGCGGGGAGCGGAACTTCGGCTACCGCCATGAGCGGCATATCGTACTTCATTGGTCGCGACCGTACAAGATATAACCGTCTGGTGCAAGAAATACGTACGGCATTCGCAACTGAGAAAGAAATCACTCTTGAATCGACTGCGCGCCTGCCATATCTCCGGGCCGTCATAGAGGAGACGTTGCGGCTTTACCCCCCGAGCCCGAGTACGTTCCCACGTTGGGTACCGTTCCGGGAGGGCGTCGAGCTTGATGGTTGTTGGGTCCCCCATGGTACGGCAGTCGGAGTGCATCCATACTCAGCGCACCGCATGGAGGACAACTTTCGAGATGCACTCGAATTCGTGCCTGAGCGCTGGCTAGACCAGACTGGAGGCACCAAGTATGCGAGCGATGACAAGGCCGCTATGAAGCCATTCTCATTCGGAACGAGAGACTGCGTTGGGAAGAAGTACGTGCTCCTCTTATGTTAATATCTCTAACTCACAAAACCGAACGTGTTACTGATGCTAGCGGTTTGGCTAGTCTTGCATACGCAGAGATTCGCATCATCATGACGAAACTACTGTGGAACGTTGATTTCGAGCTCGTTAACCCTTCTGAAGCGTGGATCGAGAAACAATCGACATTTTTGATGTGGGAGAAGGGGCCTCTGTACGTAAAGTTGCGGCCTAGAATCATGTAGGCTTCTGCCTCAAGACTGGCGATTCCGCAGTTGAGTGCCAAGCCGTGGGTATAAATAGGGGCCGAGAAAGTGACCTAAATAGCTTCTTTAATCTAAGAAGATACAAACACAAATACATCTCATTTTGTTTCTACAGTGCCGGGTCATAAGTCTGGGAACACCAAAAAGGGTAATCTAATCAACAGCTATATGAGGAGACACAGGACTTCTGGTGGTGCATTGTAAAGCGACGCCAAGTTAATGAGCCCTCTTTGTAACTGTTGATTGGGTTATCCTTTTGGTGTGTCCAGACTTATGACCCGGCGCTCTACGTGGAATATTGTCATACCTAAGTGAAACAGGACAGGTCCCTTGACCTGACACCAGCGCACGCACCCGAATGTGGCCGAAATACTTTGTACGGATAGAGCCATCGGAAAAAAAAGGTTCTCGGCCCAAACTGACGCACTGCACCGATTACGCTGCTCTCAAAGGGGATGAGATAAGAGATCAAACTCTATTATTATACATACTTTGGTAGTAAATGGGTTTAGGCACAAAGCAATCAGGAACGGAACCAGGCCCCTGGCACGTTCCGGCTAGGTACATCCCAGCACCGCCACACTGGGTCTATCGTGGAGAACTGGGGCACATCCAACCACAGGTCAACCCGAGTCGTTCGCGAAAGCAAGCTTGGGGTGACCTAGTCAGTCGACGTGCCTCTTGAGGCTTGACCACAACATCTACGATTCAGCATCACAGTGGTTGGCGTATGGCGATCACAACTCTTCTCAGACTGTTATTTGTTTGAACGATGATCTTATTAATCTAAGGGAAATCCCACGAGGCTCAGTACGACAACGGAGCGTGACCGAACAGTAAGGTCTTACGATAAGCCAGCCTGCTAGTGGCTACCTTCCGAAAAGAGCTTCAATCTCTATTACAATAGTGTTCCCGAGAAGCCTGTTTCTTGCGCGCATAGTGGCGTGTGCGGGGGCACGTCCTTAATTATGGCGCAATATCACCGTACTATGTCAGTTTGGGGAAGTGACGAAAGCTGCTCGCGTCATGGTCGAGTAAGCGGGAGGCGATGCGTCGTTACCCAGATAGCCAATTCAACCCACGTGTTAAAATGGTAAATCTAATTCTTTGTATGAAGCGCGTCATACGTATGGGTGATGTAGGGTATTGCATGTCGACACAAGTGATAGTTTAGATCGATGGATAATTGAGATGCTCTAAAGCCTCAAACATCTGCATTTACAGTACACGATACAATCCTATAGGTATAGAAAAAGAAGAAAATCCACCAGCGCTAACACTTACGTAGAAATAATAGAACCTAGTTGCTTCCACCAACTTCTGGAAAGCGACACCCAATCAAAGAAGCCTTCCCCTGCGTCAAGACACTACGATCGGATGACAGGCCAGGGATGATGAGTGGAGTCTTATGATGTATCACTAGCCTTATGGACAGGCATGCCTGACTAGCAAGAAGGGAGGGTCTTGATGTCGCAAGTGCCGCGCCCAGGGCTCCCGTCATTCCCACCGGCATCGGGACGCTTAGCATTTGCCACGGACTTCGTTGGGATCAGCCGTGCAATGGCCCTTACCGTCTGCGCATGGGAAGCCCGAGACGGCAACCTCGCGGCAGGCGGCTTCCCACTCGTTACCAGCGATTTGGTCAGTTTGACTGCTCTTAATGCACTAAAGCAAAAGGGGTTAGAATTGTGCGCCGAGCTCTCATTTGGCAGGAGTCCACTCACAAGTCCAGAGGCCGCATCGTATGCGCTTTTTCCCCATTTGTAGTTCTTGTTGGAGTAGGTCTCGCAAGCTGAAGTAGTCATGCGCGAGTTGTCACTTTCGCTGTTGCGGCATTTACAGCTGTCGTGAAGGTTGGCAAAACTAGAAGATTGCGTTAATTACCATTCAGAAGAAGGGGGCTCACAAGGATAAGACTCACGCAAAAGAGAAGAGAAGGAAAATGGCAGTGATCTTGGCGATGAAAAGCTGCATGTTGGCGGTGGCTGTTGCCTGAGTTCGCAGGAATGACTATGATGGCGTTGTCAAAGAATGGAAGGATATCGTATCAGTGATGGGGTCGAAACCGATAAAGGAATGTGGGCGAGCGTAAGTGAGGCTGGACAGACATTGAGAGCACGCGGTGGAACTAACTCAGGTTTATATTTACGGTGACTAACATTGACTTGCACCATACTCTTCCCTGCCCTTTCAACCGATGCGGTCATCATCTCCAGACCACTGGTCGAGATCATCTCCCGTTGCCAGGTACTCCTCGCTCCCTTTATCCGCCATAGAATCCACAATAGAGGTTGGTCGTACGCGTGACTATTAGATTGTAACCTCCGGGCGGTGCACTCGCTTGCATGGATCTTTTGTCTCAGCTGTCATCAGCCTTAATTTGAGCCCGCACGGGGAGCGTCCTGGGACTCTTTCATAGCCCCTGAGCCTCGACGCCTTGATATCACTTAGAAAAATCCATAACTAAGTAGAGAATATTTATTTGCGTCCTACAAGGGCATTGTGAGTCCTGAGGAGGGGAAACGGATTGTTGTGGCGGTGTGGTGCCAAAGTAAAAAGGTAGGGGTAGCAGAACAGCTCCTATCAGGTTATCTTGGCCGCGTTCCGAAAGTCAATTGGGCTAGATGCAGCTCGGCCGCGACCTGAATCATCCACGTCCTTAGTTGGGAACTTATTCTTCCAATCTGAAAACGGATAGACCACGACGATTGGCTTATTCGTGTTCGTCCCATCCATCTCCCACCCGGTAGCCATCTAAAGACTCCACATCAGGCCGGCGATCGGCGTCCTACCAGCATTGAGTCAGCGCATTGTCGTACTAGAGCTGGGCCTATCCCCGCTATCTCAGCGCAACGTGATAGATGTTGGGCTCCAGTCTCGCGGGGGAAAAACGGCATTGTTATGTCACCCTGGACAGCTGGCCCGGTCACTTGGATAGTTGTAAAAGGGGTTATGCTTGGAGCTCGAATGTGCTCATGCTGGCAACATTAGCATATGTGGGAGAGTAAACGACCTATCCACCACGGAGATTGATAGATTGCGGGCTCGTATCAAGACGCAATAGCTATCACGTGGTCATTGGTCAACTGACATCAAGGTTGGAAACGGGGAGCTTGTTCATCATTACTGTTTGATTCTCTTGTCTCCCTTCTTTTATAAATATGTACACCTCCCATTCGTAGTGTCAGATCGTTGTCTCCAAGGCTAGTCCGTTCGTCATTATTCTTCTTGCAAAACAGTATCTTCTTATAAGCAAGGGTCCCTCAATCTTGCTTCGATAAGTCGCTCTTCTATACTTTGCGCACTCATCTCAATCCGTCGAGATGCGCTTCTCTATACTTGCCGCCGCGGGCCTCATCGGCGCTGCCACCGCCGCTCCAACTTCTAGTCCACCGGCCCTCAACTGGGACGATGTAGTCGTCGTGCTTAACGATGGGTCCACTCAGATCATGAAAGCTGCCCAGTACGACGCTATCGAATCTCGCGCCGTTCTTCCTCCCCTTCCTGCTGACCATGGCACCAATCTTTCCGACAGCCCGAGAGTATCACTCGCCGTGATGATTGCAAGACATCTACCGAGGCTCAGATCCTTTCTGACGAGGAGTTCCTCGCCCCAGATGTCGCCATCTCACCCGTCGTGAGTTCTAATGGCGCCATTCCCGACATCTCCGTCGCCAACGGCTACCAAGTCTCGAATACGGTCACGGTATCAGTTGGTGTTGATCTTACGGTTATCGAGAAAGTTCTTAGTTACTCTCTGTCCGTCAGCTATGCTCAGAGTTGGACCACCACAGAGACCAACACCCTTCGTTTTACTATGGGGGCAGGCCAGTATGGGCTCGTTGTCTCCCAACCTAGCGTTCGGCGTGTCACTGGGAACATGCTTACCGGCTGCACCGACAAATGGGATTCGAAGCCTTTCACCTCCGACACCTATACCAGCCAGTCCTACGGCAACCTTGCCTGGGTCAAGGGTGTCATCCGCCTCTGCAACAGCACCACCTACCCGTTCCCTACTGCCTCGGCGAGGGTGAGCACAGATAAATGGCTCCACCCCATGGCAGCAAGACAAATCACTGAGCACTTGGAAGCCGAAGCTCGCGAGCTGTTCTGGCAACTTTATGAAGGAACGGTGGCCCGCCAACCCAATAGGGACGTCTGGAACGCATAGGGCTCTTAGGGTCTATTTTGAGACTATCTGGAACACATCACGAAATTATGTCAAACATGTACACACTTGCTTTGTTATACCATGTATGCGTCGCGATTTCAATCTTATTTTCTTTGTTTTTGTCTCTTATTTCTGGAGCAGGAAACTGGGGTTTAGGCACTAAACTTGGATGACGATACACCAAAGCGATTGGATATCGATGTAAATCTTACCATTGGCCTAAGCGGTCACTTATGATATTGGACTATCTATATACCACGGGCATGGCAAGCTTGCTTAATGACATTAGTTTCCAACAGACCAATTTTTCCGGGTGATTGAGGTTTATGCGGAAGGAGTAGGCCTGGATCACATGGCGTGAATTCTTGTCCATAACAACTCCTGTGCCAGAAAGATTCAATGCGGCTCAGAGAGATTGCGGTTGTATTCTTCCGGGCCGGACTGAGTGTAACGATGGAGAAAGTGACTAGGTGAATCCATTCAGTTCCAATGTTAATTGAAATAAAATAAAACTGACGCCATAGTCACCAAGTGGAGACTCTGACTGATGGTCCATTTGAAAGCTGCGTAGTGTCATTTGTTACATCAATATAGCGGTGTACCTGTAAAGTTAATTTTAGGTTGAAAAATGAAACAAGTCATGTCCTTATACCCACTCGGAATAGTAGTCATGGACCTGGCCTCTAATGTGAAAGAAACGTATTAGAGTTTGCCACATTGGAGCTGAATTCGTTTCGCTTTCAGGAACATTTCACTGAATTATAAGGCTGCATGATTACTATGCTTTTAGCTACTGCGGATATTACCATGCGTCACAATTACACTTGTTCTCTATTGCTTCTCTCGCTCAGCCTTCAGCTTCTGGTCCTCCTCCTCGTTCTTGGGGACCTTCACAAACGCCGGTACAGTGACAGCATTCAACTTGCGCAAAGCCTGCGGATAAGTTAGCAATGTTTATCTGGAATCGAAACCGCCTACCCAGAAAGGCCGCCACAGTGAAATTCGACAGAACACAGCAACACCCGCCTGGCTGAGTAGCCAAACGAGCGTCTGGGCTGCGCTAAGGAATGACACCTCAAGAGAACTGCGTACCTGTGAAAAAACTCCGTCGGGAAGATTATTGTTCCACTTGTCGTTGACCTTGACGATTTTGCCATCTTCTCCGACCTCGATTTGCACGACGCTTTCCATGGTCTGTTCCGTTTTGACGCCCTTGACGGTGTAGCTGTTCTTTAGCTCAAGTTCAATCGGGTTACCAGCTGACGTGACAGTATGCGATTGAATCTTGATAGGGTTGAATAGTGCTGGTAGCCCGTACCACTGAGCAGCGTACTTGTCGTACCCCTCGGCGACGGTGATGTTGTCCTGAAAGGTAGCGTTCTTGGACCACAGCGACAGGTGCTTCAAAGTCGGATTACCCTCAAAGAGCTGTGGGAAGCATTAGCACATTTCCTTGGATGAAATGGGGTCATCCATACATCGAGAACGCTGCCGACCAAAACCTTCTGCTGCTGTGACAGGGAGATGCCAGACTTCTGGTTGATGCTGTTGTTCTTGATTCCGATAGACTCAAAGCTGGGTGCGTTTGAATCGGCGGTGGCCTGAGCCTTGGCCGTCTCAGATGGAGTGCCTGAAGCCATGTTTCTCTGAACTTGTTTTGCAAATGACTTAGTTTCTGGGTGAGTAGCGATTTGCTTTGCAATGTGTTTGGCGGTTGAGTGCATGAAGGCGATGGTGGGAGTGAAGCGAAGATGCTCAAGATAGAAAAAGACTTGTGAGCTGTTTTGTTGTAATCAGTGACTATGTTGTGTCGTAAGTTTCACAGACATGTCGTGCGCATATTCGTCGCGTCACTAGGCTGACGTGACACTCGGCGATGATGAGCGCTGACGTCATGACTTGGACTTGGAGAAGTGTTGAATGCATCTTTCCCAAAGCACATTCCTACCTGAGAAAGGGGAATTTTACTCAAGGAGGACTAAGCCACACACTGCATTCAGCCAACCATCCGATTGGTGTTCCTGCCGCGTTGTTACTTCCATGTGTCCCGCCGTCTCTGCGCCGGTTGCAATTCCGTGCCTGAACGGCAGCTGGCTCCGGACCCGCTTGACATGGTCCTTCATCGAAATCACGGCACTTGCTGAAGTTTTCATTCACTCCTCATGCATGGAATCGAATAGAGATGTTCTTTGGCACAATGCTTCCACTGTTTTGTTTGTTACAACCAGAATAGTATGATAGGGGTCGAAAACGTAATTACATGCAACCTCTATGAACCATGTGCAGCCTATTGCGCGGCTAGTGTCGTAATATGTCCATTGTTCAAGTCGTTATATATATTCGGAGCGTTATATACGTCCAATGTCGTATGTACAAGAGAGAGAAAAACCCAAAAGGTATCCGAACTCATCTCCCTCGTTAATCAATGCGCACCGCGACACACGGGCGAGGGTGTCGGAGAAGCCCTGCTCCAACCCTGTCGTAATTGTTCATTACTGTCAAAATGATGTTATAAGCCGAAATGAGACGGGCTTATTTGAAGTCGCCATAGCCATTGCAGCGAGACAGAGGAATGGACTCTTGCTTCTTGGCGCAGACGGTGATTGCGCCAGCAACCCAGTCAACACTCTCGTAGGAGCCTTCCTCATAGGTATTGGCGATCCAGGTGCCAGTCTGCTTCATGCTTTCAACACATCCCTGGAAGGCATGGCCGTAGCGGCGGTTGGTCCAAGGAGTAGAAACTACGATGCCGGTCATGCCCTCCTCAATTATGCCACGAATCAAACACCCTTGCATGGTAGTCTAGGTGCGGCCAAGGCTGACTCCGAGGCTGCCGCTGAAACGTTCCTTGATCATCTTGAGGTCGAGGCCAGCGCTGACGGTTATGGTGTTGGCAACTGAATAGGACTTCGTGATTAACCGCATCAGCAGATAGTGGCCCTTGAGCACATTACAATGTAAGAGCAGACCGAAATGCATGGGCCAAGAACTGTCTTTGGCTGCAGGTTATCAAACTCTTTTGGTTACCGGAACGAAATTGTCAGTACCTGAGCTCAGAGATACTGCTTGGTTAACAGAGAATCTTGGCGCGACTCTCTCAAGATCACGCAATAATTTGAGAGTCGATGGATGGGTTTTTTTAGCGATGGTATTGCCGAGAGCTTTGCACTAGACAGGGATCACCAGTCGAGATGGTGCACCATCTTGCTGGCATTCCCCAAGATCCCGCAGTTTGAGTTTCAAATAGTTGGATCATCTCAGGTAATCATCCTCTTAGAAGTCGCCTCAGGCGTCAGATCCTTGGTGTCTCCGTCATGGCTGGCCGTTGTAAAGTCAGGTACCTGGAGGTTGTTGTGGTGTGATTCGCTACGCAGGAGGAAAGATCAACGACAATCAATCTAATCAATGTAGTATCGAGAAGTTCGTCTCCATGCCTCTGCTTAGCTGGGTACATATTGGTCTTCATGACTCAGCTCAATTGTGGATCTATTCGCAGCAAGCCGACAGAGGCTACTTTTGCTGGTGCGAGATTGCCCCTAAGATACTAGGTATGCACCGTAGCTCTTGTTGACACATAGATGAGCTTAATGAGCCGAGTTGAGGTTGAAACTCATGTAGTGCTTGCAGCACTCAGACGTAGCAAGAAGCTCATGTTGATTGGAGTAGCTCGAGGTGGTCGGACAGCACTCTGATTAGCTTTAGCTGAACTGCACTCACGCCGCGGTATATTCCAGCTTAGACAACAACAGAAACATTCTCAATATGGTCTTGAAGAGGTGGGAAACCTAGCCATTTGGAGCCTTGGTTACATAGTAGTCATTATCCCATCCTGGCTGTACACGGAGGCGGGTTGCCGATCCTGATTATCCCCTCCAACCAATCCAAACCAAGACCAAAATTGAGACAAAGATGACATGAACGGGAGCCACCATATGATTGAAAACGATTCGAAAAGCAGTGGGCCAGCTTTTTCGACCCATAAAGCATCATCAATGATGGGGCAGCTAATAGGTGTGGGAGCTGCCGCGTCATATTCTATGTTATTGGCACGCCATCAACTCTTCCGTGCATATCGGTCCCCAGGTTGCGATGGCACATCTATAACCTTTGTTCAAGCAAGGCCAATGGCATCTCACCGAAAAAAGGTTCCAAGGAAACATCCGATTTTCATTGATCTCACAAAGGATAAGATCAATGAAGCAGGAAGTATTACCCATGTCTTTTAAGGCTGTCGTCCTTGCCATCTCCCGAGGTATGTCCCTGATGTATCAGAGTTAGCTAACGCAAAAGCGAGAGGCAGGGCTTTTGTTACAGTCGGAAGATCTCCGCTTATGACTTCTGATACCATGATGTGCTGAAGAACAGCGTGGGGCCTTGTTGTCAAACCGATTGCCGACTAGTGTTAGAAATCCGGGACCTGAATGCTTTCTTCTTCAACCCGAGGTCTCTATGGGCAATCATCCAGCAGTGATCTCTAAGCCTGGCTCCAACATTCACCTCTCCAATAAATGCGAAAAACGTTACTCTTAACACAAGATAGTCGCGCGCTTTCATTTGATATGCGAGTACTTTCCCTCAGCAGCTCGAGGATTATTTTGAATTACCCGTGAATCGATTTGGAAAGCTACAGCACATTTTCAGATCAGGTTGCCGTTACCAAACCTAGATACAGTATGAAGCCTCACATTCGTTAATGCTGATCATATATATGTCCAATATTCTACCACAATATCGACTGGAGATGGTTTGATCAGCATATCGCTCACCGTGATTAATACCCAAAAGATACTGTATCATCATCCCACACACATCAGAATCTCAACAATTGCGCCACGAGAAGCTGAGATGACGTATTGGTCAAAAAATTCTTTTTCACTTCATGTGGACCGGGGGATCAACACAAGTCAGTTCAATAGCCTCGTAGATATTCTCCGGTACTTTTGTGACATCGCCGTGTCATTTCATCCACGTTAGAGAGCCTTGGCAGAGACATATAGCAAGTACATCATCGCCGCATTATCAAGCACAGACTTTGTGCTTGATAGATACTCACTACCCAAGTTAGACACAATTAGTACTATGAACTGAGTTTACCATAAACCTATCAATAAAGCCAGCAAGTGGTTTTTCCTTTCCTATTGTGAATAATTTGATCCCCTCAATGGATAACCGAGGGCCGGGATCCAGTCTGTGCTCTCTGCCATGGTGTGTGTCCTTGAGTCGTGCGTGTCGTACAACCAGCTGGTGCTGTTATTCCGACATACGCCCAGATTAAATGGCTGTGGACATGATATTTATAATTCGAAGTATGACCGTGTCAGAGGCTGGAGTCGTACAGAGTAACGAGGTCGACAATAGGCACAGGTAAGGGTAGGTGTTGACTGTTATTCCAATCTGCCTTTACCCCTAGGTCCACCGCAGCTACTCCTTATATGCCCCCCAGGCCCCCCCCTTTTAGCCAAGCCCAGTTCCCCTGGCTATAACACTAATCCAGCGGCATTATTCTATCGCCTTTCTTTAACATTAGTCTTAATAGCTAGCCTTTATCGTCAAAGTCTATGTTAAACGCTTAGCTAGAACCCTTTTATACTTCTTTAACTATATGCTAGTGCAGCCCTAGCTACCCCGCCAACGACCCCACTAGTGCCGCGCCGGTGCCCCCCCTCTGGGCGCCTGACAGACCGTCACACCGAGAACGTAGATATGCTCTTAATAAAGCCTAGTTAACATCAGTTTCACATTTATTGTGCTTGGAGATTGGGTCTTTTCTGCCACTACTCACAGAATCATCAAGTTAGCTGCGGTCATGTTTCTGTCTTGGAGCAATACTTTCCCGTATAGCCTTTCCACGTTAGAACTTTCCTTCACCTGTCGAACAGCAAGTGAAGAGCACTTTTGGTCAATTGACAGTCTTTCCGCGGAATTTTCAACTGTGTCATTGTTCTTATTGATCATTGTCTTTCTCCTCAAGGTGATGATCGTTGCCACGCCTTGAAAAGACCTGAAAACGCCACAACAGCCGCCTTTTCGCTGAGGCTCACCATTGCACTATGACCAAGAGCGTCATCGAGTTTCTAATGGTCAAACATCGTCCCAAATAGCGGGTTTCCTGTTGTGTGGGGTTGTCATTTCCATAGCAGACAACAGAGCACACTTTGTCAGGTTATGAGGGAGATCTACCATCCATCCAATCCATGATGCCACCGACAATAGTGACATTGACAAACGCTATGTTCCTCAATAGAAACGATAGATAGTGGCGTTTTCTTTTCATGTGTGTTATGGGCTATATGAAATGCTATAGAACGGCCAAGATCTCGCCTCAGCCGTAATGGGCGGACAAGCCAATAACAAACCCTGGTACATCGTCATCAGCGAACATGCGAGCGTCAGCTCCCAAGAATTATTGACAACACCTGACTGGGTGCACCACAGAGCTCGGGCGTATCGGTTATGCACAGTTCTCAGCGAACCAATCGCATTCAGGAATTCTTCCAACCATCCTTTCATCTCCTATCAATTAGCCATCATATGACCCCAAAAGCGCTCACGATGTGATTTTACGCTCGTTTCCTCAGCGCCGCAAACAGCGCAGCAACCCAGCTTGCAGGTTTTCCAGAAGTAATTCGCCAAACTCTCGTGGGATTGGCGGCAAAACTGTCTCCGCACGAACTAGATTTACTGGACGTTCAGAACCGATTAACGATGACATCAAGCCTGGTATCGGTCGGGCGAGAGTTGCTCAGCCACAGAACGAGACTCTTAAACTGACTGCATTATGCTGCTTTTGGACTAGGTGTTGCCTTCTTAGAACATACTAAAGAATGCGGGGGAAGTTATGTTGACGACCGACAATCTTGATTGAGCATTTCACTGATTCTTGTTGGTTTGTGCACATTGACCTTTCACCCTAAGGATCACACTTCGAGGAGCCATTTGCTGCTCATAGATATCATAATGGGCTTTGTAAAACACTCAATCTGCTCCATTCCCATTTGTGTACTAACATTCCAAGCTCCGGGCACTGGGCGAGAAAGCCGACAAGTTCGCATTGTATGCTACCAACGCTGCCGGTATGTATTAGTCAATACTAGCTTCATCTGAACTTCTTATGGAATATTTGTTGACATATACTCCAGCCACGAGCCGCGCCTCCTACGCCGATGGAGTCGACTGTGTCACGACCGACGGCATCCCTCGCCCCTCCAAAGGCCAGCGTGAGCCCCCACCGCGCGAGTCGAAGATGACCTGGAAAGAAACACTAGAAGCAGAGAAAGTTGCATAGGAGAAGGAAGGTTCTCTTGTCAAGTGAACAGTCAATGGCATTTCAGCCCTCAATAATCGCACTCATGCGGATATGCGGCCGACAATATTCGTGGTGACCAACTATATACCCACATTGACGTCTTAGGCACACTCAAGTTCAAATGAAAGAATGCATCATACCATAAGCATCAGGGCGATTTAGATGGATTTGTAATTGATGGTTTACATCGAAAGCGCTGTGCGCGTGGCTGCGTCCAAATCCTCCAATGGAAGCCCTAGAAGATCGTTATGGGGCTCAAAATCCGCATCACCACTGGGATAGAATACCCGAGAATACATCATTTTGAGAAATCCATTTTGATATCCCTGCTGTAATTCGTCAACCCCAGCCTTGTAACGTTCCTTCGTTGCTTCGTATTGGATCTTCCAGGATTCATCTGTCGTTTGCGTCGTTCTCTCGACACTGTCCAGAATGTCCCGCTGACTTACCTTGAAGCTAGACAATAGCAGTGTCTTGTTGTGCCACTGAGAGATGGTCCTAGACCTGTCATCTTCGCCTTCGGGTAGTATCTTCTGGCTAAGCAAAGAGGCCACTGCGCGGCCACACTGCCTGCACCCATGTGGAGATGTTGATGGCTTTTCTTCCATCATCGTATAGGGTGACGACACGGTTTTTCAAATCGAAGCCGAAGGCGATGGGACCGGCGGTCAGACTCCATTCATACCAGAATCCGTTCATGAGCGTAATCGAAATCAGTCCGGCTTTCTGTACTTCGGCGATGTTTTGCAGGACTTGATTCGTGATCGGTATATCCCTTTGAATCGCTTCATTATGAGCATAGATGCTGTAAGCATTAGGCATCACGTAAGACACGCCTGCTTTGGCAGCGGCATTGAGCAGTTTCGTGTGCGTGTCCGGTGTAGTGCTCAGAGAAAGTGTGATAATCAAGAACTCTTGCCCTCTAAGCGCTGATATGAGGGAGTCTTGGTCATTGTAGTCAACTGAGGCTTTGACAATGCCATTATGAAACACACTGTTCTTGCCAGCACGAGTAATGGCGGTAATAGTGTGCTTTCCGGTCTTGAGAAGTTCCTGTGCAATGGCGTTTCCCATGTGACCTCCTGCCTATTCAGAGGACGTTTATTCGATGGGTTCAGTGTCCAGCAGTCAAGAGAACTTACTCCAACAATGGCTACTTTCTTAATGTAGTTGGAGAACATATGACATGCGTCTTTTACTAAGACTGGTAGCGCCATGACGAAATCGATGAAGTATCTGATGATGGACAGAGAAATCTGAACCAAGATGTGCCGTAGGTTTGAAACTGATAATGGATCAAAATTTATCTGGAGCTGATCTTCATGCGGTATAAGAAAAAGCTTATGGATCTGCAGACCGGTCTATGTTTGTGGGATAAGCATTCTATTTAATCCAAGGCACACCTGCAGTCGCTCCATTCTGCGTCATTTCCCTAATTAATGCGATTCTGCATCTTGTTTCCAGAATGAGAAGTCGCCATAGTCAGCTTCGGACTTAGTGGATATAGACCTTAACGTCGTCCGAGTAGTTGGCGATTCGAAGTTGCCATCAAGATGCTTTACTGTGTCAGCGTCGTATTTCTCCATAACTCGACTTGAAAGAGATAGATAATAGTCAATACCATTACCCAAGATGGCTAGCGTTCCGGTCTGCATCAGCCAGCCCCACACATTGCTCGCACTCGAAGCCTAGAGTATCGAATGCAGGATTGCAGATGAGCAACCTATTCTTGGATCAATTAGTGGGGATTGGCATCCATCTGGACCTGAGAAATTGACTCCTGTTGTCACTCTCACTGAATTGCCCCCCAATCTTAAACCTGCAGGCCACGATGGCCATTCCATGAATATAAAGCTAGAGTAGATCCCTAACATGCCCAGGACATCTTTTCAGCCAGTTCATTCTGGGCTTATGACTCAGTCTCTTCTTCCCAACGCGTTATGCATCAACGTTTCCTATCATGACCAAAGTCCTTGTCACAGGTTCATTCACCCTGACCTAATTCAATCTTTGTCTGAGGAAGTTAACCCTTTATATCAATTAAAGGTGGGACAGGCTTTGTCGCCAGCCACGTCATTGATGTTCTTTTGAAGCGAGGGCATACCGTCATCACTACTGTCCGTTCACAGGAAAAGGCCAAGGCGGTCAAGGAAGCGTATCGGGATGTATCCCGCGGCAATCTCGACATAGTTATTATTCCCAACATTGCTTCAGAGGGTGCTTTTTTTAAATTGGAATGTTATGAGATTGAGGCGGTGATCCACTTGGCAAGCCCAGTAAGGTACGCCCTGGTGCATTTAGATATGATGTTGCTGATCAAGTCTCTCAGTTTCATTACAACGCTACGGATCCCAAGAAAGACCTTATTGACCCCGCGGTTCTTGGCACGACTGGTGTTCTCAAGGCCATCAGAGAGTTATGTCCCAACGTCCAGCGTGTCGTTGTCACATCTTCGTTCGCAGCCATTTTGAACCCAGGCCTTGCATCGACGGGAGCTGAGAAGACACATTCTGAGGAAGACTGGAGCCCGTTGACCCTTGAGGACGCATACTCAAACGGCTTGAATGCTTATGTCGTATCCAAGCTTCTCGCCGAGAGAGCCGCCTGGGATTTCATGGCCACCGAGAAACCCAGCTATACCTTGTCAACCATTAACCCGCCCATGATATATGGGCCCATCATACAGCCGGTCAAGTCGCTCTCTGCAGTCAACACTTCCAACCAACTGCTCGCAGAGGTCATACTCGGAAAGTATAAGAACGGTCTACCACCGACGGCGCTTCCACTCTGGGTCGATGTGCGCGACGTTGCGCTCGCCCACGTCAAGGCAATGGAAACCGAAAGTGCTGCGGGAAAGCGTTTTTTCACCACCGCTGGTTTCTACAGCAACTACGAGCTGGCCAAAAATGTTTGGGAACACTTCCCTCAGCTGCGCAAGAACCTGCCGGTACCCAGTGACTTTGGAGGGGCGCCGAACCCAGTACTGAAGTCGTTCGGCTTTGACACATCTCGAACGAAGGAGGTATTAGGCCTGGAATGGACACCGTATGAGAAGACCATTGTGGACTCAGTCAAGTCTCTGGACGGACTGCAAAAGTGAGCGAGACGAACTAGCAAGCGTTGAGCCGCGACCTGCGACGGAAAGTATTTCAGGCAGCAATTGCATAGCTCCCTGTCATGGCGTAAACCGTCCAATAGTCCAGATCCGACCTTCTGTCCATAGCGTCCATGATGTCTTTGGCGGCTTTCAGGCCTCCGGATTCCCACATGAACTTGAAGCATCGTCGAACCCATTCTTTGACGAGCAAATCTTCAGAAACCTGATTGACGAGATACATAGGCGCGAGTAAAGTACTGCAGTGAAGCTGCTGCACCGGCGAGAAGGGTATGGAGTTGGTGAAGTGAACCCCTGGTAGTATGAACTGGGGCACCGAGGCGCATATTGGGTTGACAGATTCGCGGACTTTCTTGGAAAAGTCATTTTCTTTCGACCTAAGTTGATCTGGAATATTACTCCGAACTATGTTGTATAGAATGAGACGTAGTGTGTGAATGGCGTTGGAGACCTGCGTGATGTAATGCTCTTGGTGTACGTCGTAAGAATTTCCCAGCACTCGCGCGTCCGTGCCTGTGTAAATCGTCTTTGGTTGCCAATCTGATGGTCGAGCCCTATTCAGGTACTCGAACTGTTCGTCCAGATGCTTTGCTTTTACGAGTAGAAGATATGTAGAAATTTCGCCCCGGTTGACGCCGGCTTTGAGATTCACGACCTGCCCTAGTAGGCCCAAGAAAGACCACTTGATGCTCTTGACGCGATATCCGATGTTCCGGCGGACCTTGGCGAGCTCTGGAGGCACCCTTCCACCGACTGTTGCACAACTCACAGTTACTGCCGTGACAAGGCGCGCCGCAACTTGACAGCCAGTGGTGCTGGACACAATGCTGCCCTCGCGAGCTCCAAGAAGCGACAAGCCTCCTCTTGCATGACTTAGCCAGGAATGCGACGATTGAGGGTTCCGATGGACCAGTTTTTCGTACATATCCAACAGAAGTACAGACTGTAGTGCTTCTTCAGCCAGGTCGGCATCCAAATCCTGCAGGGTGTGACCGAGCCGTTGGATTGCTGCAACGTAACTTGCATTAGCGAAACGGCTCAGCTGCAGACTACCTGTTTGAGCGGCCATGAATGCTAGACTGACAGCCTCGACACTTGCGGATACATGGTCGCATGGCTTTGCTTCCCTGTAGTAATAGGCGACCTCACTCATACTGCGGGTGAAGCCGTGGATGTATGTTGTGAAGAACGCATGTCGAGCACGTGTGTCCCAATTCAGCTCGAACACGGTCGGTGAAGCTTTATGAAATACACCATGTCCACGCCGGGCGAACACTTTCTGTTCCACGGCACGCGACTCGTCGCGGATCTGAATGGCACTGGGGTCACGGTATCCATGGCATAGCATTCTGGCCCGGAGGCATTGCCCACAAGAGTCCCGCTGCAAGTCGCACTAATTCCGCCGACCGCGTTAGCAAAATACGCACGTTAAAGCTCGGGTCATAAGTGACTATTTGGGTAATCATGGGCTTAGCATACTCTGAGCTTCCGCGTTCGGCAGGGTAGGCAGGCCTGCGAAAGCCGACCTCGATTGACCATCAGTCAGAATTCTTGATTGTGAAAATGAGAGATCAGAGACGACGGCGCGTCATGCAATGACCCGGCAGGAGGATGGTGTACAATTCAGTGATGGTAATACTTTTCAGTCCAAATGCATTCAGCTAAAATATAAGGAGAAACATGATGAATCGCATAATCATCGAAATCGAGTGTAGTAAGCTTTTCGACAAGTGAAGTTCGGTGCGTGTTCTGCGTTGCTATCCCACAGATTTAGGTACCTTGCCAAATCAGGTTAGTGTTCCGTCGTCTCAACTTTAATTTATGGAGATCTGTTCGCAGAGGTTAGATGCTTCTGGTTACACCAGGAAACCAAAACACCCGTCCCCAACTCCGAAATCTCGGTTTCGGTTTCATGGAGCTTAGCATGACTAGATACACGGGAGTTATGGTCGAAGCATGAAAAGCTTGAACTTAGGGCCTCACATATAATGGCAGCTTTTCCCTGGAGTGCCTGACTGTGAGTTTCCAGACAGGTCGCGCCGTGCTGCCAAAGTGCAATCATAATGCTATTAACGATTTGGAATACATAACGACCATGAAATAGTTATCTGTGCGAAATATGCATCCAGAAAAGCCTTCCAGGCGACAGTGCATAGTTATTCAACAACAATATCTATCTACGCTTCTACTTGAATTTTCGTTTATCATGCTGTACCATCGACATCAGGGCGGAAGACATCGTTCGTGACCTTGACCCCGTTACTACTTCAAGGCTTTCCAATCAACTCAGGAATCTCAGTAGCCGGTTTGCCGCTCTTCTTTCCTCTACCTCCGAAACCCCAGCGGATCTGGTTAGGCATGTTGATCTGCACACCGAGCTCATCTGCCCAGCTAAACACCAGACCAGGGTTCTTCTGGAAGCCCCGACCAACGAACACAGCGTCAAGTCCATCCTTTTCCAGCAGATCATTCGCGAGCTTTGCACTGTTGATGGAACCGACGGCGCCGACTGCCATCTTGCTGCCGACGGCCTGCTTCACTTTGATGGCGAAGGGGGCCTGGTAGGCTGGTCCGACGTGCGGGTGTTGCCGTTCATGGTTTCCTCCGGTGCTCACGTCCAAAAAGTCAACTCCTCGCTCGGCGAGCAAGGGAGCAAGCTTGACGGTATCGTCGCCAGTCCAGGATTCGGGGATGTCCTTCTGCTCCTCCAACCAGTCGGTAGCGCTGATGCGGAGGAAGAGAGGCATGTCCTTGGGAATGATTGCGCGCGTTTCCTCGACCTACACTTTGGATTAGTGGCTGAACGACTTTGGAACGGATTTACAAGACTTACAATCTCCAAGGTAAGTCTTACTCGGTTCTCCCTGAGAACATTCGTTGTCAGTTGCGCTCAGTGCTAATATTGGGCTCCAACTTACCAGCTTCCACCATACTTGTCAGTACGGGTGTTGCTAACAGGCGAGAGGAACTCGTGCAGGAGGTAGCCGTGTGCTGGTTTTGGATATCAGTTCCCAGTCAATTGCAGCAACCCGGCCTGAAACTCTTTACTCACCGTTGTGGATCTCAATTGCGTCAAATCCGGCCTTCAGGGCCCTGCGGACAGAGTCGGCGAAAGCCGCCTTGAACTCCTCAATGTCCTGGATCGACATCTCCTTGGGGCTGGCGTGATGCTCATTCCAGGCAATGGCGCTAGGAGCATGCACATCATCCGGCCAGCCATTGAGATCTTTGCCAGCGACGCTGCCGGAGCTCAGCCACGGCGCGACGGTGCTGGCTTTGCGGCCGGCGTGAGCGAGCTGGATCAGGATCTTCTGGTTTTGGCTGTGGGCGAACTCGACGACCTTACGCAGGGGCTCGATCTGGCTGTCCTTCCAGAGACCAACGTCCTCGGGCGTGATTCTACCGCGAGGCTGAACTGCCGTGGCCTCGACGGAGGCGATTCCTGGGCCGCGCTGGATGATGCCTCCCATGTGGGTGTGATGCCACTGAAAGGGCAGGGTTAGCTTAATTCCGACACTGGGTTACTGATGCGGTAGATTTACCATGGTGTAATGGCCATCCTCGGCAGAGTATTGACACAACGGGCTCAACAAAATGCGGTTTTGAAGGACCTTGAGCTTGTTAGCGCTTGTTAAGGATTAGCCGTTGGCTATGACTTACCAAGCCTCGCAGCTTGAGCGGGCGGAAGAGTTTAGGAACATCCTTCTGACCCTCTGGCAACAGCGCGGTGCCCGCGGGCGGATCCTGCTTAGGCGTGAAGTAAGGGATACCCGGGGTAGGTTCATTGACGAGGCCATCCGGGGTATCGGGCTTCTCTTGGACGTTGTGGTGTGTGGTCGACATTGCGGGTGTTTAGAAAATACAGGACCGTTTAAAACAAAGTATACTCAGCAAAAGGAAGTAGTTGTGTGTTAATATAGAATATGACAAGGTTTCTATGCAAATGTCAGCTTTTAATTATTATAGGACTTCAAAGTCTGTGTCGCTGAACACCCCGCGTCCTAAAAACGGGGAAACGCAACCAATTAATAATTGCGCAACATCGTCACTGATTGATCATCCAGAGTTCCAAAGAGCTTACAAGTTCGGTGTAGACGTCATTGTTTGCTCTATTTTAATCACTTATTGGCTAGTGATTGGGGAAGGGCTCCATCGACTTCCACGCCACCGCTCTGCAGCTAACTTTCAAACACTGAAGCTTCTCAAAAGAGTGGGACCGGCTACTATGGATCCAGACCCGGCGGTTCTACCAGACCCATATGGAAGCAATTGGACTCAACTAGGACGGAAGATAGATTCCGCTAAGCTCACGTCTGAGACACAGAAAACCCTTCTTTGGAATTGAGTACCGGTCAGTTTCAAGCTCCCTAGCCTACCCAAGAGAAGGAGGTCCCCTTGGATGCACATGACTCTCCGTCTAGAACGCGTAGCAGCATTAGCAATTACAACCAAGCTCACGCCCTCAACACCAGCGGTTCATACCGTACCAGACATCATGAAGCCTGTCCCACTCAGCGGCCTTGTCTTCCACTCCAACCCCTCGACCTCACCTTTGAACTCGGCAGCCTCTTCCACGAGGTCCCACGTCCCATTTGCCTCGTTCTTCTTTAGTGACCGGAAAATGATGGTCTCCCCAGCATCCTCAAAGATGAACTCCCGGCGGCACAACCGCCTCCACTGCTCCGCTGGTGTGCCCTCCTTTGCGTTTTCCGCCTCCAGCTCCCGATTCTTCTGTAGCATGGCTAGGAATGCCATGCTATCCCACAGCCCTTCTCTTCTGGGGTATGTCTCGAGGATGCGCGTCGAGTTTTGCCTCACGAGCGGATCGCGGCACATCATAGCCACGATGGTGAGCTGCCACGCGAGCCCAAACTCCATCGAAAAGACGTGCGCAGCCGACTTGAACTCCTTCTGCTGCTCGCGAAGGAGTGTCTCGACTACATCATTGATCTCGCGACAGTATGGCGTCATAGAGTTGACTGTTGCTTCGTCGGCGTACTTGGGAAAGAAGCTGTAAACGAACATGACAAGGTAGTGCATCCTCAGGTGTAGGATCTTCAGGTACTCCTTCCTGTCGATATTAATGTCGGACAGAGTTCTGTTGTACAATGGCTCGAAGGATTGCCGCCATTGCTGCAGATTTGCGACAGACTTTTCGCAGTACGCCCCTAGCTCCGGTTGGTTTTGCATGAATTCGAGGATTCTCTCAACACCTTGCTCGTCCCTGACATCATCGAACTTGAGATCGTCAATAACGCTGAGAAGCAGCGGGCCCAGCTTGGCGATCCGTCGCTGACAGGCCTTCCACCATGTATGTGCTTCTTCGGCGTCATGAAACGCCTCTGGCATGTCCTTTCGCCCTTCTCCAGGATCTGTATACCGCTGGATCTGCATGCTGTAGGTTTCGATAGTGTGCCCGCGGGCTTTGAGGCCTTTGATAAGTTCATAGGCGGGGGAACGGCTCGACTTGACAGGACCGCTGAGGACGGTGCGACTCTGCACGTCGAGATGGTTGTACATATCCAAGACTTCGGTGATGAGTTCCCTGGGGTCAGGGGCGAGATTCCAAATCCGTTGTTCCGAATCTTCGCTTGTCAAGAGCTCTTGCAGCAGCATAAAGCCAAACTTGACGTGCTGAAGTGCCGAGTGTCGATTGCCGCGCAGGGCCTCAAAGGCCACGAACAGAATTGACAGCAGCACTGCCTCTTGGATACTAGCAGTTTGGAAGTCAGCTTGGCCCTGGAGGCGCAGTGCCTGGCAGTAGTGCACGACGGCATTCTGGTAGTGTGGGCTTTGCAGCAAATTGGCAATGTTTGTAAAATTCCTTGCGACGACGTAGGGGCCTTGGGCAGAAAACGCTCTGCTTATGGCGCCGATGCCGATAGCGGCGTGTCGCAGCGCGGGATTATGGCGGGTAAGCTGGGGCATTGTCGTTGTCCAGAGCTTTGTCCGCGAGAAGGATGCACCGCCAAGCGAGACGCTGATTAGATCATTCCAGTCGTTGAAATAGACGCTCTGCATGTCATCAGCGAAGTCAAGCGTGTTCATGTCGGGTTCCCTGATTAGCACAGGAGGACTGCCTCGACGGCATGGGCTTTCAGGGTTCAGTCTCTCGATCTGCCTGGGGACCTTGCCTCTTGTCTTGCGTGGCTTTACGGTATAACCATCACACACACCGCGGGTCTTGAGGCAGTTCATGCAATGGGGCTTGGCCTCATCGCATTTGATGTGCCGTTTCCTAATGGGGCAGTGATTAGACGGCGTCAATGAGTTTAGTCTGAGCAACTCACTTGCCTACCGAGGATGAGCGACGTCTAATAGATACAACAACAAGCGGGGACACTTACAGGTGACACAACCTGTCCTCACCTTAGGGGTACTGGTGCGGGTATGTCGAGGACGATGGGCGATAGGGGCCTTGCCGGTGCCGTTCTCGCTTTCGAGAGAACCCGCCAAACTGGGAGCGACCCCTGGCGACGCGGCGGAGGCTGTCGATGTCGACGCCGTATCTGCAGGGAGAGTGGGATCCATTTTTTGATTGTGATGGGGGAGTGTCCGAGGGCAACTCAATTGAGGTGTAGGAGGCTTTCGGCCGGCCGATGCGCTCCGTGGACCGATGACTGTTAGGCTCGGGCGCGGACTCGACCCATGCAGCTGCGCGCCGCCGATGAATTTGACTCAGCGAAGGGCCCGTTTGGGCAATCCTGCAGGTCTGCAGTTTGTTCGTCTGGACTCGAGAGGGTCCGGCTGCGATCCGACAGCGGTCGAAAATGTGATTGGGGTCAGTATGTATTGAAATGCGCGGGTTGTTTCTTGACAAACCGCGCCGTGACGTCTCCAGGCCAGGCAAGTCGATGGATGAAGCAGCGCGTTTGTCATCAATTTGACAGAGGAACTGGTTGTCGCACCCCCAAGTCAATTGAGCAGTGATCACGCGGTGCTGCCGACGATCCTGGATTATGTGATGAGGTGGTCTTGGTGCATATGGAAATTGTGCAACCTCTTCTTTATGCACAACCCGCTTTATTGCAAAATGATTATCCTTGCATCGCTGGGCAATGTTCGGGTTGGGTCAGTCAGCCTAGGTACGTACCGGTGCCGTGCTCCGTTTGCCCTGCCACAATTCCATCGAATTGCGCCATGTGCATGTCTTGTCCACCTATCCATGTTAAGATTAGCGTTGGCTTTCTGACTGCATCCGTCGTAAACCGGGCCAGCGAGCGGGCGTTGCTCCCCGCCCCGACCTCTGCTCGAGTTTCACCAAGTACCTACGATGTATCTCACGAAGTCTATATAACTCTTGGATCCCCGCATCTCCATCATCAACACTTCTTTTCTTTCCACGCAACGACCATCTCGCAAGTCGAGACCTCCCGCTCTCAATCTTTGAATTGCCAACTACTGGCCCCTAGGTAACGGGGCCGCTACACTCTGCAACAATGCCGGGCGCAACTGCAACAGCAAACTGCGCCGCGCGCGAGGCCGCCACAATGTTCTTCCAGCCTCAGCAACAGGCTGCCGCATTGGGCGCAAGATAGTTCCAATCTCCCCGATGAGGCCAGCTTAATACGCGATCTCCAGTATCAACACCAACAGCAACCGCTACCGCAGTTGTCGTCGGCCGCTGGCCTCCCGGGTACGGATTTTGGGCTCTTCGGTCCAGAATCCGTCAACGATCCGAGCCTCGCTTTTCTTGATCCGTCACCTTGGGACACTCTGCCGTGGACGTCGGCTGCTTCTGCGACGCCTCACGTCAGTGCCAGTCCCCTCGACAACTCGATAGGCCAATGTAAGTTGACCTGCCTTGGGTTCTCTGCCCCGGATGAGTCAAAACTCTCGGTTGCTAACTATATATCTCTAGCATTCCCATTCATAGACACCTCACCTCCCACCCTCTTCGACACATTCCCTGACACCTTCCTCACAGCCCAGCTGGATCCCACCTTCGGGTCCAGCGATAGCTCCAACTCCAACAGCCCCAACCAGCCTCCGCCCCTGGACATGTCAGTGTACGCCGCTGTCTCTTCGGGGGCTCAGCCACTCCATCGCTCCTCGCCCAACTCGGACGGCCGTGAGTCTGAGGCCGCGACGCCCTATGCCGACAAAGTCCTCCGCCGGCAACGAAACACCATTGCCGCGCGCAAGTACAGACAAAAGAAGGTCGACCGCATCGACGAACTCGAGAACCTGCTAAAGGAGATGACGCGCGAGAGAGACGACTTACGCATACGCCTCGCTCGGCAGGAGGCCGAGACGGAGGCTCTCAAGAGCATCATGCGGACGGAGACTAAGAAATAGCCGGGGATTAGCTTGAGTCTGGGATCTATTCTGTTTTCCAGAAATAAGTGTGGAGGAGAAGGCGTTTGGTGCTGGTCAGACGATGTCGGTTCTAAAGAGGACTCATGGGCTCGCACTCTCGACTACGAGAGAGCTGTGTGCTTATCTTCTTCCGATGCTGTCATCATGTAGCAGTCTTTGAATGAAATGGTTACCAATCACCTCCACTTGCCTTGCATTCAATGTGACGATGGATTGCTTTGCTGAAATCACCTCGTTTGAAGGAAAGATGTCCTTGATTTCCATTTGACACGAACTACTATATACTGGTGTTTGTTGTGGTTCTATCACTGGGACACACATCACGAACATCATGGTTCATACTCGACAACATATGGCTCATCAAATACTCCATATCCATTCCCCGCCAGGTTAGCCCCAACTACGTGACAAAGGAATCCCGAGCGACGGAGTTGTTTGCTGTGATTTTTTCCGCCAGTATGATAAAACCCGCTGGCATGAGTCAATATGACTACAGATGGCTCATCCGGCCAGCATACACTGCATATAACTCCAGACGAATCTCAGCGTGGTGACAGAAACTCAATATCGAGTCTGTCACCAACAAGCCAGACTGTCCCACCATCGCTGTCCCTCGGAAGAGCGTGGAGAGAGGGGCATTGGCGCGTGCACGACTTCCGGGGCCCAAGTCAAGCGCTGGGATCATCCTAGCAAGAGTCTCTCTCGACAGGCATTTAATCCCTGCTAGCGCGGATGAATCATCGTGAGCCACTCTTGGCGTCCAATCTGGATCTGACCACCAACAGCCAAGCCAGCCAGTCGCTGATCGCTTTGCCCGTTTACAGCGGAGAGTCTGCGGACACTCTGTCCACCGACAGTCCGACAGCTCTGGGTTACCAAATGAGGGAGCGGAAAAGAGAGAGGACTCCGACATCCATCTTGTTGCATTTATCGAATTAAGCGATTTTCTCGCTCCAACTAAATCTTGCAAAAACGATTTACGGGGATTGAAAATTTGCATAACTAAGCATAATCTAGCACAACAGTGGCCGTATCTGGCTCGAAATAGTCCCCATCCCCCTCTAGATTACGACGCATGTCAATGATAGAGGATAGAGCCTATTCCAGCACCTCAGCCCCGAACTGCCCTCATTTCTTCCTCTTTTGTCACTTTGAAAGGCTTTATCCGGACATCACCACCACCTTAGTATGTCAAACTTTGTGTTTAAAGCTCCAAATTGGCTGCATTCAACCCCTGCGTATGACTTTTAGGTGACTTGGAGAAATGTGATACCGTGGAAGCAGATGGCTACTGGAATTGACAGACTGGCTCATTGTTGTCCCAAGCAACTGGCAATCAATACCGGAAAAGAAAGTGTCGCGTGGATGTTCTACCGGTATTCCTTTTGCATGCCAATCTCCTCGAAGCTGCCTGAGTAGTCTCTCGCAAACCGATTCTTCCTCCAGTCCTTCGGTGTACGACATCGACAAACTCTATAAAGATGTCGTTCAAGGAGGAGGACCACCATCCAACGGGCACAATGCTAGCTCCAGCAACCTGGGCAAAGAAGAGGACTGAGAGCTGGTAGATGTATCCAACGTCGATAGAATTGTCCTTCTTGACAAAGATTTGTTCGATGTAGAGGACAACACGAATGTCAAAGTCTGTGAGGAACTCGTGCTGATAGTGTTGTCGACAATTCTTATAGACGAGCTTGAAGTGGTTCCAGTGCTCGAAGACAAGGACACAGTTGTGGAAGCTGTGGAGTCATTACCACGACAGTTGACAGCACTCTTGCGGGGGCAAGGGATGCTGCAAGTAATCGTGGTCCTGGTCCTGGAGAAGACGGGGGCACTTGTGCCAAGTTGGCTGCAGCAGCACGTCGCATTAACCAATGCAACGTAGAGAACAAGCTCGGTGCCTCTGCATCTGTTTGCGCAAGTTTTGGACTCGTTGACGCCGAGAAAGGCAAATGCGTCGACAAAACCGGTGCTGAAAGTTGGAGATGGCTGCTTCGTCGCAAGTGCACGGTAGCTGTTTATGCGTGAAGCCCGTTTGTATCTCAGACTCTCGTTCTTCCCCGGCGAACAATGAGCAAGAAAAGCTGTCGCGGGAAATATTCTGGAAGCGCAACAGAGATGCCAGGTAAGGTGTGGCCGGAAAATTGGAGAGATGACGCCATGATGTGTTGTGGGGGTTGATACTCTTACATCGAAATCGGAAGGAAGATGGGCACCTATAAACCCAATCACCCAGGTGTCTCTGCTAGGGATTTATAGTAATTGGGACGGACGGCAGCACCCGTCCGATTGTGTAACGACCGACAACTAAAGCGTTCTGCCTCTACTTGGATTACCTGCGGCAATTTGCACCTCATTCCTTCCACAAGACTCAGCCTCGGCCAGAGGACTAATCTTGTAAGACAATCCTGCGGGAAGCCGGTGAGACAAAACGGCTGCGCCAGTTGTACAGCCATATCGCCCCTAGAAAAACATTGCATGAAATTTCACCAATTAAAGACGCAAGAAACACTTGCGTATAGGTTGACTCGGGGGGGTTTGAGGAATGTGGAAGGCTGATCTCGATGATTATGTCTGTTAGGAGGTCAGGACGCATTCTCTCTTTAGCGCCCCTTGCATGCACTGGCAAAGTGGGACTGGCAAAGGCTGATCGGCCTGGGACTCAGACACGTCGACATCAGCTCACTAGGCTGCTGCGGGATAACATTGATGGAATGACCGTGATCTAATCGTCTTGCATCTGACCATGTGCCTATACCCATCCTTAGTGCTAATAACAGAACCATTCTCTAGAAGAATCGGCGTCTGGCCACAGCTGGATAACTCCTGCCCCAGCCGGTGTTCTAAACTCCCATGAGCGAACCCAGATGGATTATGAGATGAAGGGTTTTGTTGAGATTATGGTGTACATTGCGCGGTCATTGATAGCACTTGAAAATATTTATCGAGATATTATCAGGAGGTTTAAGCAAGTGTACTAAACTAGATTGGATCGTAAACGTGAGTCCCCATGTTATCCGGCGCGTTGCACTGTATGGGTGTTGTACCAGCAACAAAGTGAGATCGATAGGAAAACACCGTTGCTCGCCACACCGCGTTCCGCTTTGAGACGATTTGTTGTCCCGATGAATTTCGACGCTGTGCTATCATGATCATAGTCCTCACGCCGGTTATTGAATCAACAATATTGTTGACGTTTCTAGCACACGCTCGCCGCAGCAACTCTGTTCAAGTTCGAAATGGCAATGTTTCAGCTGCGCAAAACACACAAGGGGGTACTGGTGCTGGCTTATACTGGGTATGACGACATCTCGGGTACGTAGGCATTGGGTTGTGGGCTCCTGACATGTTGGCCGTAGTACTGTTTTGCAAATTGCACACTTTCTGGTTGTTGAAGCATGTCGTGTGGGTAAAGTTCTTTGTTTTCGTTCTGGAATTATATGTCCCGTTTCACGTTAAGAAAAAGAGCTGTCTTAGGCTTTCCGACCGGAAGCTTCACGGAGAACGGTATCCACGGGTCGTAGCAGGATCTGGGACTTCCAACCCTCCGGCTGCCCGGGGTTATCGGTGGAAATGGGTCATTCAGAAGAGTCATAGTGTGTATCAATTGTTCCAAAAGAGTACGGTGACGTCGGACGAAAGTGTATGCTAAACTAATATAAAGGAATCAACCTTTAGTCTGCGAAGCTACCGCCCTTCTCCTCTCGCTTTCTTCCGTCGTGAGTCTATCCTGCATCTCTACCAGGCACTTCCGGCACTTGCGGCGCTGGAATCTTTGTATATCTGGCCAGTGACACTTGTGGTAGATTTCTTTTGCTTCCTGTTCGTCTGCGTTAGTAAATGGACCATTCCCTTCTGTCCCATCACCAATTGTTACTCACATCTGTCCATCTCTGGTCGGACGGCATCCATTTCGGTTGCCACACTTGCCATTCACTCCCTTTAGAGTCACCTGGAACAGGGAACATCTCGAGTGATATCAAGCACTTGCACAGACCGTCAAAATACGCGGTAGCGGGTACAGGTCTCGCCGTGCGCCACTGCTCATCTTCAGGTACCTCCTCCTCCGGTCTTGAAATAAATGCGTCATAAGCAGTTAGCTCGCCTGCGATGGACAAAGTCAAAAGACATGCGAAGATGGGGCCCACACAAAGCAAATCAAGTTGTCGACTCACCTGTCTTGGTATCAAGCAACCACCACATCCCTAGTGTGTCTCCTCCCAGCGGCTGGGACAATGGAATTATGCCTTCGGGGATTCTTTGCTCTGGCATCGGCCAGAGTCCGACGAGATTGGGATCCTCGAGCTGGTAATCGTCGTCGGGTTCATTAAGAACATTTCGAAAATAGATGACGGTTTTGGTGGATGGAAATATGGGCTTGTTGCTGGCAACGTATGGCAAATGCCGGATCAGGTCAATCATTCTGTCGTTGAAGCCGAGGCGGCGCAGCTTCTCAAGGGGGATAATGTCGACGCCCCACCCTCCTTCCGGGGGTATTCGATATGCTCAGTTCTGAACGATACCATCTTAGAAAGAAGCTCATAGTATTGCTTGATTCTTGCGACAATAGCATCGCGGTCGTAGATTGAACCAGAGTTCTGTTCCGGCGGTATGGTTGCTTCAGCCGACATATCCACGATCTTGATATGGGTTCGTTGTCGACACCGGAGTCCAGGGCAGTCACTGCGAATGAGAATTGCCAAATTTCCAGTTGATTAGGTAATGCCTAACCCCGCAGCACATGCAGATACCGGGCTGTTTGCTTGGACTTGGCGGCAGCTTCTGATTGTGCTTTTGATTTCGGAGGGCTTATTTCCTCTTGCATCAAGAACCCATTCAACTTGCCTGGGATAAGAGCGGCCCAGCTACAGCTACAGGGATGCCTGCGAACAAGCTCCGGGCCTCGACTTGCCGCTTGTTTTGCAAGCGATGCAAGGGTCGATCAATAGAATTCACGCAAGAGTGGCAAGTCGGATTGTTCCAAAGCCAATGAAGCACCGCACGAGATTTTACGTGGCTGTTGGCATTTCAGAATTGGACTTGATGATCTCATGAATGAAAGGCACACATTTACAAAGGGACCTCGATGTTATCTGGGTTGCTTGACCCAGGCGATTATCTTTTGTAGAAGTTGTAGGATGATATCTAGCTACAGCTGTAATGATGGATCTCGCAGCGTTTGACGCCTCAGCGGCCACCTCCAAAGCATAGATTAGAGATGCGGCCATCTCAATTCCATCACTTTCCGACGAGCTGCTGGCTTACGGCCATGATGAAGCAGCTGATGCTGCTCAGAGTGATGGTGTGCTCAAGTAGCGCCGGCTGCTAGGAGAACTGTGGCGGTCGAGTGGAGCGCGGTGTTGGCAATGTAAGGACAACGGGTAGTTGACGGCAAGTCAAGCAACCCAGCAGCAATCAGACAATATTTCTCGTCTGACATGAACAGACTCTGTAGGGCTGATACTTATATAGAGTCCGAAAAACAGGGCGAGGAGTGGACGGCGATATTATACGAAGAAAGGTGGTATTAATGGTACCGACATACTGTTGATACTGACAAAAGACTGACCTCAAATGCTTTTGGTTGCAGTTCTTGGGTAGGAAGGCTAGAGTGTGTGATATTGGCAAGGATTGTAAAACAAGCGACATTCTGCGCCGTAACATCAGGTGTATGCACATTCTAGAGGCAGTTTGTTTAACACACATTGTATTAATGTAGAATATAAGACTATGTCAACAATCATCACTCAAATGCAATTGATCATTACGCTATCATCCTTCCAATAACACGGATCATGCACACACCCAACCAACAAGTCGGCTTATATACTGTGATCGAAAAGTAGTACAATTATAGGTGTTTAGCATGCCGGGGTCACCGGAGCTGTCGAAAAGTAGGTCTTGTAGTAGACGTTATCCCCAACATTCTTTGCAACGCTGGGAGGGGTGTTGAGAGGGCCTCCCTTGTTGTTTGCGTTGGGGAAGAGGAGGCTGGGTGCGTTGGGTGAGAGAACACTGGTTGGGCAACCAAGCGCGGTGTTGCCGAGGTATGGGTCAAGCTTGGAGAGGGCCCATGCAGAGGCAGCAGCAACCTCCTCGGTGGTGCCGGCGACGAAGAGAGGAACAACGGAGTTGATCCCCTGGTATAAATCGCAGAGAAATGTTGTGGCATTGAGGTTACCAGTGCCAAGCTGAGCCACAGCGGGTACAACAATGTTGCGAGGATAGATCGCGACAAAAGCATCTAATAGAGTCTGCACTGCACCATAGGGCGTGGCGCGACGGTACCAGTTTGCCGGCCAAGTCTCAGGAACGTACTGAAAGTCGCCGGTATTGCCGTCGTACTTGGCTCCAATAATAGAAGAGATTGACTCGTAGTTAGCGACACCACCAAGTCCATATGTACCGTTGCTGAAGAACTAAGAAATAGACAATCAGTATTGGTTACAAGTCGAACGAAAGAATTGTCACGTACTTGTGGGTAGAATGCAAAAGCGCCAAGTGAAACAATCAACGGGAAGGGGAAGTAGTAGAGGTAAGGGTTGTTCTTTTGGGAGAACATGGAGAATTGCTGGTATTGAGTGCCCATGTTGGTCATGTCAAACTGCTTGGTTCCACTCTTCGCAACGATATCGACGTTCTGTTTAAAAAGGCGTGATGAAAGATGATGGTTGTCACCGCACCCGTTATAGAAGTCCTCACGGTTAGGGGAAATATCGGCCTAGTAGGGTTTGTTAGGTGATGTCTTGGCTCGTTGAAAAGTTCAAGCTAACCTCGACCGTGGAGTGTCTGTTCAAACCTCCAACGCCTCCTGGGCCAGACCCCAGATACACAGATTCTGTGGTAATGTTTCCATTACCAAGTATGGCGAAGACACCCAAGATTGTCGACAAATCGGGTCCCATGTTGAAGCCACGGGCAGTGGCTTCGATGACTTGGCCCAGGTTGACGTGGCCATTGCGAGGAAGGTAGCCATGGTTTGCAAGCAGGTTCAGACCCGGGCATGGTCCTCTGCTGTCGCCGGGGCCAGGAGCCTTGAACTCGTAACCAGGTTCCGGACGTTTGTCGTTAGGATTGAGAGCACCTTGGGCGACGGCTCCAAGAAGGCCGCTGATAGTGTTTGTGAGCGAACCAACAAGATTCGAGATGAGCTGAGGTTCTGGGTTTGCCTCCGGCTCTGGGCTGCGCTTGAGAAAGTTCTCAAGGTCCTCTTTCGTGGCCATAGATGGGAAGGCTGCCGCCGAAGCGGCGAACGAAGCCATAAGAGCTCCTTGGAATTTCATGTTGCTGGTACCGTAGATATCGATGAACGGTTGTGAGTAGTGTTCTGGAGTAGTTAATGAGAGTGATTGAAAGAAAGGTATCGGGCGGCTGTGTCAACATACATATATACCCCTACGGCTCCAACGAACAACAGTCTCGGTTAGCGACATCATAAGAACTGAATCCAATGGATCGAGATTACAACATCGGGAGCTTGCTAAGGCCAATGAGGTCAGTGGCATGCGTTTAGTGTCAACGAGTTCAACAGTAGGGCTCTGGTCATCCCCGACGACACCAGCAGTGACTTGGTGATGCGGAATGGTGCGATTCCGAGAGTAGCGGCCCTAGCCCGCGGGCATGGCGTCGTTATGGTGTCAATGCCACAGAGCTTACCCCGGACTTGAGCGGCTTTAACGACCGCTATCCCACGGACGCATCCCTGGGAAGGAAAAAAGGGCCTTACGATACTGAAATGCCTAGGTTGTTGACGTACAAGAATAAACAAAGTACTCAAAGTCTGACCGGAACGAACTCCGCTTTGAATCGCCTTTCCCCGAAGTGCCTTAACGTTCGACAACCGCATCGGGTGGCGCGTTCCCGTCGGCAACGCTATAAGCTAATGCTGCTTGGATGACGTCTGCTCTGCGTGAAAGTTAATTCTAAGCGGGTCTTTTTGCTGTAAGGGGTTGGCTCCCTAGATGCTTGATCTGAGCCTCGGCGATTAAAAATCTCACCAGAGCTAACACACGCATCATCTAAGCTCAATGTATTTGTCGAGCCTCTACATCGGGTAACGTTTCAACGGCTAAGGGATTAACTAGAGGGAGATCTACATCGGTGGTCCTTCACTAGCTGTTAGCACAGACCGCAACAGCAAAAAGCATTGAGTTTAACCACGCTGCAATGCAGATCTTTACTCACATTTTCACTAGCTGAACTCTCTCAACTACTTTCATGACCAATTCTGCTCTCGTCATTGGTGGACTAAGTTGGACCATGCGACAGACCTTTGATCACAGAATCCCCAGTCACGTTTTCCAATAAAAAGTTTCATCATCCCTTTGAGGACAACAAACCAAGCCGCCCTTGACTAGCGCGACCTATGCTGAACTTCGCCTCCATGGAGAGGTGTAGTAACGATGGCTCGATATCCATATTCGGCCTAAAAGATCCGAATAACTACGTAACTATTTACGTATCGTTACCTAACAGTCTACATTGTTGAGAACAGATAGGAGGCAACTGCCTGCGGTATGGAGGGGCTGAGACGCACGTCTTTACTCCGGAATACCTCACGCTTGTGAGCGAGTCGCTGTGAATGAAACTGGCCATGCGTACAGGTGATTTGTAGTTGTAAGTTTGCGCGGCAAGCTCTTTCGTCCAGTTTTATAACATTGAGCGGTGGATCAAGCCGCAGCTACCCTAGGCCACACGGGATGAGTTTGTGCATTGAAGAGGTTTGACGACGAAACATCAGCTGCTATGACGATCAACGGAGGTCTGTGGCCAACATTCGACAACATAAGCCCATGCAGCCTAGTCCAACGATTTACTTCGGCCCTTTTCTCTGTGCTTTCTGCGACTGACTTGATATTACATTTTAGGTGTGTCTTCTGCGCACGCACTTTGAACCGGCGCTTTATACGACGACTTTTGTCCGCAAAGATGCAAGGGATTTCGATGTTGCTCCAGTGCGGAAAGTCTAGCCGACTGGATCATATCACAAGACTTCACTCAAAATCCCCTCAGCTTCATCAAAACAGCACCTAGCGCATTCAAATGTAAGCGATGGAGTGGCCATCGATGTCAGCGTGGAATAGGTGTCCATTTGCAAACACCAAAGGTGTGAAGTTCGATTTCTACTTACGCGTGAAGGTTCAAGGACCGATATCTCGATTCAAACGCTCGGCTGCAACCCCATCCAAACAGTTTTACCCGCCATAGCGAAGTTAAGAAACCAATTCTAGTATCAAGATGTACCAAGGAAATCCATTCCACCCAATGTTGAGTCGATGTTTCCATCACTAACCAAGTAAAACTGCACCAACAGCTCCATTGTACGTCGTGTCTCAAAGAATAGTATTGTTCCAGTGGCTTTTGAGCTCCCCGTGTTAATCGGGGCTTTCTCAGATAGTAAATTTAACTAGCATTGGCCACAAACGGTTATCCTCAAGCCACATAAGCAGACAATCAAAAGTGGCTTTATAACGTTGGTTCCAGAGTGCAGCTAGCCATCGTTTCCAGCTTACCACGGCCCTTGCCATACGCATGCGCTTTGAGACATGTTCACATTTCCCCTTGCGTTGTCTGCACTCACTCGGCAGCACTATCGCTCAGCACCTGAATGTCTGGTTTTGCGTGATTCACCCTTCGCATTCCACGGCTTCTGAGTGGCTTGTTGACCAGACTACGCTCGGCTATGCCGCAATGCGAGACATGCGTGCTGATTTTCCGATTAAGGATAACCTATGATTGGTTTGAATTACGCAGATGATATCCTGTGCTGACAACCATCATACATGTAACCGCCAACTCGTTTGCAGCATAACGCTGATTTGGATTGCAAAGGGGTTGCTTGCTGAGCAACCTGATTTGAAAGGGATTTAATCAAGTTTAAGCATAGGAGATTTGCTTACGTACAACTGGCTATGCAAGCCCTAATGAAACTTCTCTGTCTGTGCCTCTCTTCTGATCACGCAGTTCCCACAGAAGTCATAGACTGGACAACCACCGTGAGGATGCGTGCTCGAGGCTTGAGAGAGATTTCTGTTGTTGCATCCTTTCTTATCTCAGCACCGCCCGAGACATGGCATTACAGCTGTGTCATAGAGCCGTCTCGATTTGAAGAGAAAATTGGACCAGCGCTGGCCATTTTGGCCCAAATCGAGCTGATCAATGGATTTGCTCAGTGACTACATCGCTTAGTGGAAGAAAGTCCCACTGCCTTGAGAGACATCCTGGAGAACGAGACCATTCCCCGAAGCCGCCTCTTTCAACGGCCTTCTCGAGATTCTAAAAGTCCTTGGCGTTACTTCCCACAAACCTAATAATCATTACATCTGCGAACGCCTCCATTCATGACAATATTACGATGACCAAAACTTAATTAATCATTTGCTATTTCCTCTATACTCAGCTTGTAACGCAGATAGATCGAACGAGCAAGCCCACGACCTGCCATTCCGTGGAATCTGCATTCAGAGGTTCTTCGGCTCCTCATTGTCTAGGCAAAAGGTTGAGCTGGGCAAGGCTTGCCGCTTTTGCTTACCTTCTATAATAACCTAGTTGAGGGCAGGGAAAGGCCAGGTGTCAACGGTGAATTCTAGACTGGTTGTTACGCAGCTGTTTTGTCTGTTTGTAAACACTTAAGGCAAAGAAGACAAAAACCCATCTAGTAAAGCTACGCTGGCTGGCAGGGTCTTTGCAGGGTCTGGCCTTCAGCCTAGGTCACGTAATGTTCTCGCTACCTCCATGGTCTCTACTAACTTTTCAAAAAAGCTCCCCAAGTAAATGTTTTTCGTTCTAGTTACTGTCGTAAGAATATCTTGTCTAAGAAGTGTAAAGAAACGATAAATTCCACGCTTTCACACTACAGCCAATCTCCTTCTAGATGCAGCCTATCACCTTCTTTTTGACGGCGCAAGATGTCAGCGCAAGTCCATGGTTCGTATTTAAATCCCGGTGGCGTATTAGTGTTCCTGAAAACTTGACCATTGCGTAGACTTTCAAGACATTTGGCGAACTGTTCTATTGCGTACTCCTCCGGGTCATGATGGCCGATCCATTTTCCTGGGCCGCTCTGTAACAGGATATTGGGATTCTTTATAACCTCGTCCCAGTTTGTTGTGTGGTGGGTTTGACGATGCAGAGTGCCCATGAGCTGAGCACAAGAGGTTCGTTCAAAGCTATATGTACGGTACCACATCAGCCTTATTGATACCCTCAAACCGGCTCATGAGTCGAGTGTGCGCGGAATGCTTTGGGCACCACCTCAAGGAAAGAAACAACAGCTCTAAGGCGCTTACCGGAGTGTGTTGTAAATATCAAGGGACTCTTTTAACGAGGCTTTTGAGTCAATTCCCAAGCGCACAGAGGCTGCGAACGTTATCGCGTCTTCCATGGCTTGCGTGGCTCCGTTGGCAGAGGTGGGCAAAAAAGGATGCGCGCTATCTCCACACTGAGCGATTCGACCTTTGGCAGAAACCCAGTTTGGTTCAGGGTCGCGAAATAAAAGAAGCCAGTCATTCACCGTTCCGTCTGGCGTATTCCGTATAAGGGACATTAGGTCTGGGGACCAGTCTGGATGATCCTTCAAAAGCTGCGCTGCAACAACCTGGCTATCGACAGTTGTACTCCAGGACTCAGTGGATGTATTCTCGTTTTCCTTCAAGAGATATTGGGTTACCACAATCCATCATCGATATTTATTCTGAGACTTACTGGATGGTGTACGGACCAACAGATCGTGTCCTTGTTCGCAAAAACGAGCCCATGCGATCCTGGCCCGTTGAACCACTTCAAATATGGCTTCCCTTCTCGAAGCGCGAACTGTTTCTTAAGATTAGGGTCTTTTTGAAAGACCAAAGCCGCAGGAACAGATGTGCGGTAGACAGCGGAACCACTGCTCACGGCATTTGGTTTCTTCCCAGAAGTGAGCCGCCATGAAGCCGAGTGAATCCCGTCGCACGCAGCCACAATGTCTGCTGATATGCGGTCGCCGTTCGAAAGTTCTACGCCTCCGCAGTCGTCATTCTCGAAGTAATTGACAATCTTCTGGTTGAAGTAAATCGGAATCTTCTGCCGTACCACTGCTTCCTCTAGCATACCCATAAGATCACGTCTCACCAAAGGTCGCCCTGTGGTTTCTTTGAGAGGGTTCGGTCCCAAGACTGACTGACCAGTGTGTCGATTGTAGTAGGCGTCACACTTGCATGACTGTTCCTGGTAGCGGGACCTTAGCTGGGGCCAATGCTCGAAGACCCGAGTCGCACTGTCGCCCACAACCACGAAATCTCCTGTT